GATTCCGAAAAATGGTGACGTTGCGGCCAAAAATAGATGCGGTATCTCCACCGCCATTCTTTTCGCCGGGGACTGTATATATGTCAGATACAACATACATGTTATCAAGAATGTCTCTGGCTTTATGTAACGTCGGATCGTCGGTTTTTGAGCAAGTTATATATTCCAAATAATGGTTCGAGCGGGTATTATAGTTGGTAATAAGCTTGTGGCACATCTTCGTTAAGGGGCGCGGTTGTTGCCATTTACTTTCTATTTTTGCGCCAAGAAGTTTCTGCAGCTTTTCGTTTTTACAAATTTCTTTCCAAACTGGGTCGTCGGGATCAGATGTCTCTACAATTCCTGCCGAAAAAGGAGACAAGGAGCTAAGCTTATCGATTTTTACGTTGTGTATTATTTCCGCCATCTCCGCAAATGCGTCGTTGTTTGTTTTCGTTTTGATTACAGCCTATGAAATTATAATCATAGTGAGTCACACATAATACAACAGTTGTTAAAACGTTTGCTTGTTTACCAGTCGTTCAATAATTTGTTTTTTATTTGAATTAACGATATCTTTATATTGATCGGGTTGCCTTAATAAAATAGTTACAAAGGCAGCTGTTATTGAAGGGATAACAAAGAGGAAGGGAAATTGACAACATAACATAAAACGTACTGTGGTTGCGCCTTTGTATATTTTCTTTCTTTTCCTCTAAAACAGAGTAATGTTAACTATTACACACGAATATAGACGCAAAGTTTCCATTAATTCAATGTGCTTGATTCAGGTTGAGTTCATAAATTTGCTTAGTTGGTCGAGGCGTATTAAAACAATAAAGAAAACAATAATGCTAAACTTTTACTTGATTGGACAATGTACTGTTACACGAATAATTGTACAAACTCATTTTTTTTAAGAAACTTAAGGAAAACTGTTGCTTTTCAAATGCCTAAAACTCAAAACTTTTTTAGTTGATTAAGAATTTTAAACCGTAACTTTTATTCTACTTCGTCTGCTCTATCATTCTTACGGATTAGTTTTTCTCTAAACCCTCTAATATAAAAGCCTTAGGGTTTAAAAGTTGGGTATTTTATTTCGGGCTTTAGGTGTCTTGCACCATACCACCGTTAAAATTCCATCGCCGATCTCTGAGATCCTGGTGGCGGTTCCACAGAAATTTAGGAAGGAATACGTCATCGTATAGGCACAAGTGACAATGCTTCCAATAGGTTGCAATGGACATTATTGATCACATTATAATTAGTATAAATGCTATTATTGAGCATAACCAGCGTTTGCATGTTTTTTCTGAAGTCAAGAGGGCACTTGATACTTGATATACTCCACAGAGAAGATATTGTCTTTGGAGATTTGCACCTTCCCAATATTATTTATTATGTGATTATTATGCAAAATTTTTAATACATGCTATATTGTGTATTAAAAAAATACTATAATAATCTTGATTGCTGAAATATTTTTCTTAAATGCATTACAAAGATAACAGAGAGCAACACTTACGGGCAAAAATAGTAAGAAAAATCCACATGTTCTAATTATTATCCTGATTTTCTAAGACCGTCTGTTGGATATTAAACAAATCTATAATAAAATTAGGAGCAAGTCCAGCAGGAACCACGGGGACATATCCAGCTGTATTCGGAACTCCCCTGACAATTGGAGGGTTCCAGAATACATTCCGTACTGGAATAGTTATCTGATAATTGGGAAGACCTGGCCCAATGCAAGCAGTGGCAAGATGATTGTGATAGTCTATTGTTCCAAAGTCCCACTATAATATTCAACATTTGCAAAATACATTAGCTTTAAGCGTGATTATTAATTATCAATGATTGGACAATCTTACCTCTTCTACAAATACGCCGGGTTGCCTGGCTACTGCTACTTGCCTGGGTGTTGGTACTGCCTGGCGTGACCAGAGCATAGCCTAATATCAAGAATATTAAGAACATTAAGAAACATTGAAAGTATTAAATAATAAATACGCCGTAACACATACAATCATACACCGGTCAAATTGCCTAGTAGCAGTTCGTGTGACCTGTTTTCTATAAATTTTGATGCCCAATACGCATCTTACATACTCTTGTCGCATCCAACGCTCACACTTTGCCTTCAAGTCATAATAACTTGGTGACACAGCGATTCGCACATTATACGTGCATGAGGTCTCCCCTATATAATCATTTTATAGTAAGATTAAATAAGATTAGAAAAATAAAATCTAATACACACAGAACCTACCCCTCTATCAACAGGAGGAATCTCAAGGTGTCGGGAAGGTCCGGGACGGACTGTACGACCAAATCTACGTCGTCGAGGTGGGAGTGGAGGTGGAAGTGGTGGTCTTGGAATAATGTTTAAACTTGGACGTATGGCGAGATCGGATGACGATGGATTCCCTCTTCCGTGTGGACGATAGTGGGCTGTTATAGGATACAAGAAGATTATAAAACTGATTACAACCAAAGATTAGGCAACCAAAATGATTTTTACCTGAATTAATCTCAACTTTTATTGGAGCGTTAAGAATAAGAGAAGCAGTAAGTGTATATTACGCGGATGGATTAAGTTTCACACAGCATTGACTCGTATATAGTTTGCCTTTACAGATAGGCTGGCATTTGTCAGTGGAAACCATTAACGCTTTCTTTGAACGTCACGAAACACCTGGATATAAATTTGACGTTGATTCAGAGGGAAGCGTATTTATAACCGAGATGGAAGGACCAGAGCATACGTCAGTTATTGCACTGCTTACACATTTTCTAGAGATAGATATCGACTAATCATTTTTGAAAACTTTGAAAAGAAAGATATGTTTTTAATTAATCAGAATTAAGATGATTGATATTTAATCAGATCAATGTTATACGTCGTGACGTTACACGTAGGAGAGCGATCGTGTAACCTCCTTGAGATTTAGCGTCTTCCAACGGCGATATCGGCAGCGCCTACTAATGCTAAATCTTCTAAACAGTTAGTGACCTTTAACAGGCTTTGAATACTTACGAATGACTCGTATCGTGTACGCTAATCCGTAGATATTTATTTAACCTCGAGTATCTTAATCGACGATTATGATCCGACGGGATTAGATTTGGAAATCTATCGTTTGGGAAAGGTTTTCTAAACTAACGCGTTTATAGACAATTAAATAAATATCCTGTATAAAACCGACAGTATGCAAACCTAGGGGCAAGACTAAGTTCGCAACAGAGAGTCCGGATAGCGGTTTTCGCTAACTCTCTGAACGGTGAATTCTTAAGAACCACAGGATTTTGACTGACCGTACAAATGATTTAAAATCAATTGTCAGAGTTTTATTAGAATATAAAGGACTATTCTAAGGACCGTTTATTATTTGTATGATAAAGGAATAAAAGTATTCGTTGACAATCTTAACTGAAGATGATGAATGATGAAGGAAAACGGCGCGCTTAAATAACTAATTTTTGTCTAACTCTATGGTGGTGAAAACTGGATATATTGGGAAAGTTTCACCATTGCACAAGATCTGGACTCGTATCACATGGAAGATTCTACGCCGCAGGACTTGTTGATCGTTTACCGCAGAACTTAGAATTCGTGTAACTGAGCGGAAATCTCGGAGGAATACATAGACGTTAGAGCTTATCCATGACATACAATCACAAGGTACGCAAGCATGATGCAATGTCGGCACTGATAAATTATTCCGTTAGAAAGATGCAATAATAATCTTTGGTTTTCCCAAGGAAAAGATATAATTGAATGGTACCAATTATGGAAAAAGACCCAATTCTTGAAGTTTTTGAGGGATTCATTGACATCATTGATGAGACGTATTAATCATTTTCTTTATTGTAATAATAAAATAATCAATTGAATACATTTATAAAGGTAAATTATTTATTCTGAAGTGTTGCTTATTTTCAGAAGAATATGGTACAAAACGTGAGTGGTTTACTACGAAATTTTGCTAATAGTTGCTTATATGTAAAATAAAAGTTTTACTAATACAACTAGTCTTGGTGTAATAAGTAAACGTGTTTGGCATAATTATGAGCGTGTTATTTACAATTTTTACCAATATTGCAACAATACTAGGCGATATATGATCGTTTACTTGAAGACAAAGATTTCGAAGAACTTTCGTTCTAGCGTCAAATGCAATAACGCGTGGCGTGTGTAAAATTTTATATACTGTATAAGAATCTTGAATATGAAGTGGTTTGTTTGTTTATTTGTGAAGCTACGCGCTTTTAAATAGCACGCCAGTACGCCAGGATGGTGGCCATGACGAACAGCGACCGTACAGCGACTTTTACGAACTCAAAGAGATCGGGGCTGGTGGTTATGGAACCACATGTTAATTTTTGTTCAAACGATGAAGCCAGTACAACTTAAAAATGCCGATAGTAACCATCTCTTGTGTTTCTAAGTAAAAATATTTCTTATCTTTCAAAATATGTAAATATATTTTGCAGATTATTTATTGAATAATTGACTAAATTATAATACAGTATCCATTTTATTAATACGTAGTTGGAGATTCTTTGTCTTCAACATGAACGGTCATGTATCGCCTAGTATTGTTGCAATACTGGTGAAAATTGTAAATAACACGCTCATAATTATGCCAAACACGTTTACTTATTACACCAAGACCAGCTATATTAGTAAACCTTTTATTTTACTATTACATATAAGCAACTATTAGCGAAATTTCGTAGTGATCACCCGGGTACTAATTCTAAATACTGTTTGCCATGATTGTGTAACAAAATTATCATTCATTCAACAATCCACTTTTCGTTGTGCTCCCTTCCTCCAAAAATGTCTGCCATCGGTCAAATAACGGATAAACTCATAAAAAAATACAACAAAGAAACGTCCCAGAGTCTCAAACTGATCGATGTTTATCTTGTTTATACATTATTCTCCGGAGTGTTCCAATTTGCTTACTGCGTGATTGTCGGAACTTTTCCGTATAATGCATTCTTGGCTGGATTTATTTCGACTGTTGGAAGTTTCGTATTAGCAGGTATGCGATCGAGTTCGAGTGCACGAATAAGAATTGTATCGATCAATGTTTGCGAACAACATGATGGTTAAGTATCGAGAACCAATTTTAACGCTGGACTTTTTTGTTATATAGCAAACTTGAGAATACAAACGAATCAGGCGAACACGAGCGAGTTCAAGGGTATATCGCCTGAGAGGTATGGCTATTTAATCATTGCTCTTAACAATAATAATTGGCATCATGGTGTGCATAAACTCAACCAACTCTATCTGTTAATTCAGGGCATTTGCCGATTTTGTTTTTTGTTCGATTCTTTTACATTTTTTCGTTGTAAATTTCATTGGATGAGAGCAATACTGGTCACAGCCATCGTCTCGTTAGTAATCGTTATTTCAACTATTATCCTCAACCAAATCATCTACTCGTCCATAAGTGTTATCTCTAATTCTCAACAAATCCTAATAGATTTTTATTCTCCTCAACAAGATCTCCGACCTTGTAGTAGATCTTGTCGATTGTCCCAGAGACTGGCGATTTAATGAGATGCTATAAACAAATATAGGAATTATGAATATATAATGTATACGGATGTGCATATTGGTAGTTTTAACCCCAGTCGATTTTCAGCTTCGCTGGCTTAATCTTGTCATATAGCCAAGATTTAAATTTGGGCCAGGAAATATACAAACACTTGGGGCAACCTTCTCAATGTACATAGTAAAGTATAATCTTACCTCCATCTTCATGGCTTCCAGAACGATCAGTGGAGTTCCTTTCTCAACCGTTTGTCCGGGTTCCGCAAGAATCTAAAAAGTACAATTTATGGTGACTATCCAGTTATTAAGAAAATCGATATACTATTCCGACAAGTGAACTGACCTGAGATACTCTACAAGGCATAGGAGTCTTGACTGATCCTGCCGTATCACTTCCAGTTGCCTGAAGATAACCAGGCTCAGGTATCATTAAAACGACCCTTAAACTCTATTATGTGTAAACGAGAAGTTAGCAAGAATAAAAACCATGTCTAAAGTATTGTAGACATTACCTCTCCAAAGACAACCACTTTCTGCTGTCTATCAAACACAACATGGCTTTTGAATCTTCTGTCACCAATATTTGCAATTATTTCACGTTCTGTTTCATTCCAAATAGCTGTCACCTTGTCGAAAATTGCTGATTCATTTAATGCAGACGCTATTCTAATGTCGTATGAGCCATCTTTGTTGAACGTTATAAATGTAGTGAATTCCGTATGATTATAGTCACAGAGAATAATCTGTCTCGTGTGGTTTAAATTTAGCCGAGTTGATGAAAGACAAGACCATGGCGAGAAGGGATCTATGCAGAAAACAAGTAATTTTTAGAATACAGGTTATACTCATGTTATATGTGGCATTGTTATGACAACAATAGAGTGCGAAGAAAAAACCATCGCACCAAGACTATTACTAGCTTGATTCTGCATTTTGCTTAGCTCACACAAGACAATAGACAGAGAAGCTTGTGCGATTAACTCTGGTGGAATATTTGGATCTGATTGGAATAAATCCTCTCTATGTTTCTATTGAAATAATACTATATTCAATTTGAGAATTTCTCAAAGCACTTTGAGTATACAAATATTATTAGAACGTACTTCAATAAATCCAGTCTCCACTTGACCGTCAACAAAAGCGGAATGCGAGGCTACTTGCTTTAAGAATTCGATATTTGTAGCCAAACCGACAACCTACATAGTTAAAAATTTTTACAAATTATAGGTCTCTCAAACACTCTGTTAAGTATCTACATGCAAAATCAAATCCAAAGAATAATTGTCCCCCTCCACCCCAATTAAGTTGATCCTTCTCTTCCGTTTACATAAATTCATCTCACAACATTTTAACAGACCTCATAATCATCCAATGTGTTTCTCAAAGCTCTTAACGCCTCCGCCCGATCACCACCTTTGACAACAAGCTTTGCTATCATCGGATCATAATAAACAGTAACTTGGTCACCCTGTTCAAAACCGGTTTCGATTCGGACAGTAGAAGAGGGCTGTGGTGTTCGAAGATGAAGAAGTGTACCGGTATCCGGCAGGAAATTGCTAAGTTTGACAAAATAAAGTGAGCAGCGATCGAAGTAGGCGACCAAGAAAAGAAAATAAATTCATGAAATCCAATAATTACTTTGTAGGATTTTCAGCGTAAATACGTGCTTCAAATGCGTGTCCGTTGAGTTGAATTTGATCTTGGCTTAGAGGCAAAGGATTTCCTGCAGCAACCTAAAAAAAAACCCTTTTTGCTCAGTACCACAAAACGAGTCTTTAATGCGAAACGCATCCTTGTATCCCTTTTCTTCATAACCTTTACCTCGAACTGCCACTGCACTAAATCAGTTCCTGTAACCATTTCTGTAACCGGATGTTCAACCTGCAACCTCGTGTTCATTTCCATAAAATAAAACTCTCCATCTGTAGTGTCCATAATAAATTCCACTGTCCCAGCACCAACGTATCCGACCGCCCTGGCCGCAGCTATTGCTTTTTTCCCCAGTTCATTTCTTATGGATGCATCTAACATTGGTGCGGGAGCTTCTTCTAAAATTTTCTGATGTCGTCTTTGTATAGAACAGTCTCTTTCGAACAAATGCACTACATTATTATATATATCTGCGAATATTTGTACTTCAACGTGGCGAGGTGTGAGAAGATACTTTTCGAGTAAGACTTGATCATCAGAGAAGGAGTTCATTGCTTCACGCTTAGAGGAGTTAAGTTGGAGCTCAAAATCGGACGGCTCGTAAACTATTCGCATACCCTTGCCTCCACCTCCTTTAATGGCTTTAATTAGGATAGGGTAACCGATTTCGAGAGCTTTGGATTTGAGAAAGGAGATTTCTTGGTTCGCGCCGTGATATCCCGGAACAACAGGTACGCCAGCTGCAGTCATTATTTCTTTGGACTCGCTAATCATATGCGAAAGGAAAACGTGGGAATCGAGATTAGTGGTACAGGTAGTTGAAAACACATTGCAAGATGCAGTAGACAATAAAAGTATGTCGCAAACCACACTTGTTACTCAAATAAATACCTCTTTGATCCCATTGAAATCATTGCAGATGCTGGTGGTCCTATAAAAATAATCTTTTCTTCAGCCAGACGAGATGCGAATGTCGGGTTTTCAGACAGAAATCCATATCCGGGATGGATGGCCTAAAAAACACTAACAAAGGTCAATTGTTGAACCAAGATATGAAAACCATATGGCCTTTAAGTAGTGCGCTACAATCGATCGATTGTACCTGAACCCCACTGCGCTTAGCGACTTCGATAATTTTATCAATATTTAAATAACTTCCGGATGAAGGCGCTGGACCTATCAAGTAAGCTTCGTCAGACTAAAGAAGAGGCCCAATTAACAGAAATTTCACGAATAGTAATCAATTATAATATTTGACATTTATTACCAGTTTTGTGTGAAGAGCATTTCCGTCAGCTTCACTATATACGCAAACTGTCTTCACGCCTAGTCGTTTCGCAGTACGTATTACGCGACATGCTATTTCGCCACTACGCGACGAACGTATTACACTCAGTATTCACAAACTTGTATTGCAACTGAATTGTAATACTGATATTGCTTCCCTACCGGTTTGCAATGAGTATCTTATCGAATAGAGGTTTACGAACTATTTGATGATATTTCTGTGAGCTATTTTACAGCAAACCGATTTGTCCATAAAATAATCGTTTATCTACCTGTGCTTGAGTAACTTCGAATAAAGGTCCCTTGCGCAAAACATCGGTTAGAGCTTGAAAATAAGATCGAAGCTCGAAGTAGAGAATACATAAGTAGAAACAATTAACCAAATTAGATTTGCAGCAAAGGGCCAGATATGTGAACATACTAATACTGCCGCACAGGAATTTCAGGGGGTTGAAAGCCGTTAGAGCGCCACAACAATGTCGCGTTTATTTCTATTATTATATTCTTGGATACAAAATTATTTCACCCAAACAAGACTTTAACCGAACATCGCAGCATACAGTAATTTTTTACTTATTGCAATGTATTTCCAATCCGCACAGGAATGTAGTTTCTAAATTCAATTTTCAGTTTTCGAATATTCTTCAACTTTGGCCTACAAAATTATAATGTCCTTTTCTAAATAATAACAATAAATAATAACAATAAATAGTTCAAATAAACGCTCTCTATCTCTTTGAATAACATTGTCTTCTACACTATGTAGGTACAGTCAAACCTCTTTATACCAATACGAGTGGGTATAACCCGTTTATCGGTATAGTCAGAGGCCCTCTTTATTACAATGTTGCTTAACAAATTAAATAATTTACTCTACATTTTGAAGTACTCATCACATTATTATTATTAGTATTATGGGCATTTAAAAGGTGGATAATCAGAGAAAATCTCATATTAATATTAATATTAATATCAACACTAATTAACTTAAACTGTTCTGAAGACTGTATCAATAAAGAGATTTATTAAAGTTTATCGGTATAAGCAGTAAAATCTAATCGGTGGTAAACGAAATTTACTGGTACAAACCAGTTATCGATATAAAGAATGTTGAATTGGTTATGTATCACAAAAGTTCGGCTACATAAAATTGAGAAATTTTTTTCCCAGAGAAAAAAAAATGACAACCAAGACAGCCTACATCATTGGAAGCCGTAAATCACAACTTGCCCTCGTGCAAACTCAGCAGGTGCACGATGCGCTCGTCGCTGCCTATCCGTCACTCACTTTCTCTATAACTTCTATGACCACTGTAGGAGATCATATTCTAAACCAACCACTGTTTCAAATAGGCGAGAGGTCGTTATTCACCAAAGAATTGGAAATTGCCTTGCAAAACAAAGTGGTTGATTTGGTAGTTCACAGTCTGAAAGACTTGCCCACTAGGTTACCAGATGGCATGACTATTGGGGCTATATTAACGAGAGAAAATCCTAAAGATGCCTTGGTTATAAAAAAAGGGTTAACAGCGAAAAGCTTGGAAGATCTACCTAAAGGAAGTGTTGTAGGAACGAGTAGCGTGAGGCGCATTGCACAATTGAAGAAGGCATTTCCGGATCTTGAGTTTCAGAATGTTGTGTGTATAATTGATTGAGTATATGTTTGTATAGTGATGTGTGATTCGAGATATAGCTTGATGAGAGGCGGTTGACATTTGCACGGTGGGTGGGTGTTGAAGCAAAGCAAGAGCGCTAACTTTTTATAGTGTACCTGATTACTGCTTGGGCTTACTTTCAAACTCATTATTCAGAGAGGGAATCTGTAAGTACTTTTACCTACTTGTTGTCATACCAAGGCTTTTATCCATGCTCTCTTATCGTGCATCGTCCGACTAATATATTGCCTTGGACTTTCTTATAAACAGCAACACTCGTCTTTCCAAACTAGATGCCCCAGATGGTCCATATTCGGCTATAATTCTTGCGGTAGCCGGTCTCGTCCGTCTTGGATTTGATGATCGTATCACGCAGATCCTCCCCGAATCCGTCATTCTTCACGCTGTTGGTCAGGGTGCATTGGCTATTGAATGCCGTGCGGAAGATACGGACGTTTTGCATTTGCTCTCTGTCCTTGATGACCGCGACACTCGACTACGATGTACTGCCGAACGTGCACTTTTGAGAACTCTCGAAGGAGGGTGTAGTGTTCCAATAGGCGTTAGTACTGAATTTCTAGACGGTCAAGATGAGAAAAAAATATTAAGGCTAAAAGGATTAGTGGCAAGTTTAGATGGATCGGAGGTTGTAACAAGTGAAGTGATAAAGGAGATCGACGGCAACGGAATTGAAGCGGCGACTGAGCTGGGACAAGAGGTGGCGAAATCTTTGGTGGAAAAAGGGGCAGATCAAATTCTAGCCAACTTGACAAAATCGCGTAAATAGATGAGAGGGATTGTTACGTTATCAGAGAAATCGTCTATTATTTGCAGGGCGGAAGTTGAAAATTTTTTTGTTTATTTTCGATCAGGAAATACGTCGTAAGGTGATAACTCTATTATCTTACATCCTCGCAAAGTTATATAACTTTCGAGATAATGACTATTAAACGGAATTAACCGGACCCAGATACATTTAAATATACTAGTATGTTTTCAGGCTCGGTTTATCATTTACCAAGCCTAGTCATCCAGTTCATGCTCAGGTGATCCCATTTCATTGACAATTATCGAATCACTCGCAGTGTGATTTTCATCAGCCCCTTCCAGTGATCCTTTTGGATTCTTGTTCACCGCTTCTATTAATCTATCCATATCACCGGGTTTTCCAAACTCGATTTTTTTGTGTATGAGTAGAACATGATTTCTTGTGGCTGCTCTGATCGTTTGCCATCGCTTGACAATATATTCTTGGTCTGACTCATGATGCTTTAGAGCCTCGTAACATTCCTCCAAGCTCGGAACTTTAACTATCTTGTGCGCGTTCTTCATCTCTCTCCTCTTAACAACCCAGTCAATATCTGGTAATTCGCCCAAAGGTGCACAAAGCCGTGCTGATCGCTCCGCGAATTGTTTAGATAAATCTGGAATTGGTTGTGATTTCGAAAAGTCCGGACAATATTGTGCAAATTTCCAATAGATCCATACTTTTTCTCGAGATAACGTGTGTAAGATGCGTTCTGTAAATTCCTTACCATGAGGAGGAATATTTTCGAGTTGGGCTGTAATGCTTGTCCATAATTCTGCTATGCTTTCCTCCTGTTTGGGTGAAATTGAAGGCATAGAAAGTGGAACCATACGAGGATGGATGCGGGCTCTTGCTCCTTCGAGGAATTTGCGTTCTGAGGATGAACAGCCACGGATGTATTGTAAGATAATAAGAAATTGTACTAGAATAAATTTTCGAAATTCTGCATCTTTCATCTAAATACCAGCATAAAATACAGATATTAGTATGAGCTCCAATATTCTTCATAATTTCGACATAACAACTTACCTCATGTTCAAACAATTTGACGCTCGGTAAATATTTGGGAATATGCATGTACGCTTCTTTTTCACATTCTCCCTCATCGTCATCGCTCAGTTTCTGCTTTTTATCTGGCACATTATCTACGACAACCTCCTCTTTATCTCGTTTTCTTTTCTCCCTGTCTGTGTCAATGTCCATTGCATCTTCTTCACGATCCAATTCCATGCTCATCCTCTCACTTTTAACCACCTGCTCTTCTCCGCAGGCACTTTCAAATTTGTTCACCACCACCCTCATGTCCTCTAACGCTCTATCAACTTCTCCGCTTTCGACGAGTTTTACTGGATTGTTTAAGAGATTCTGTAAACTCCAGAAGGTGTTGTAATCTTGATCATCGTCCGTTTCGTCATAGAAAGTTATGTTTTCAGAATTACATTCACCACGGGGATTGACACCAGAGCGCTCACAAAGAGGAAACGCGTTGGAAAGGTAGATCAGGACGCGGCCGTTGAAATGACTATAATTGGATTTGGGTGCTCTGCGAATCAAGTTATTGAAGAGACGGAGGAGCACAAGACCCTTGCCTTTGTTCGGTGTTAGTCCCTGTAACAGATTCGCAAAATACAAAGTCAATGACGAATAACTCAACTATGTCGTCAATTGTTAGTATTATACCTTTAACAATCTTCTTTTATGTTTCTCAAAAAATTCAAATAATTTCATGGAAACTTCTATGGGTTGCCAGTCAACGAGATCTTCAAAGGCAGCGAGCGGCAGCACTTCCTCACAATACCCTTTACAAAAAATAATCAGAAAAGCCAATAAAAGAGAATAGCAAACATCGAAAGATCTTTCTCTACCTTCATCCGTGCAATACAGTATAAACTCTAACCGCTTTCTCGCTTGCATTATATATTCTTCTGAATTACCATCATATTCCTAAACATACTAAGCGTCAATGCGAGACAATAACCCGCTGAACGTCGACTTCTAAATGTATTTTAGTACCAAGAGACTCAACATGTGCTTCCCCATTGCTATCTCAAATTGAGTTTTCTTTGCGTCTGACTTATCAGCGAAGAGAGGGCCCAATTGTTGTTGTATTTTCTGAATTGTTAGATTAGGTTCATTGAGGCAGGATTGTATTGCCACATCGAGTTCAGTCTGGAACGTGTCTATTGCCTCAAGTGCCATTGCTTGCTATGAGTTCAAAAAGTGCAAGTATAATATCAATATTAATATTAAAGGTTGATTTGAGTCACGTGCTAATGGTCATTGAACATTTAATTTTTACTGTTGTCTTGGGGTTTTTGGCAGTAAAAATACTTGAGCGTGTCACGTTCTCCACTAAAAGCACTAATTTTTGAGCAAAAAGAAACTGTATCAAAGATCCGTCAAAATGAGGTTTGTTGGATTAATCGTTATAAAATGGTTGACGCAAACTTGACTATTATGTTTTAATGCTGTCTTTATCTTTGGGGGGTGTACGTATTCGATATTCGTTGCTAGTTGGACGCGCATTGTCAAGTGAATGAAATGTATCGTTTTTAAGAAAATGTTGCAAGAGTCTGGTTATTGTATATATTGTGTATGGACTTAGACCGCATATTTACAAGCAGTAATCAATAACGTATTCTTAACAATTATTATGTATCTTTCCTATCGTTCTAGTACGCTAACGGGAAAGTCCAAATCTGAAATGACAGAAGAAGAGCTTCATCAATTGGAAGAAATGGAATTCAACACAGGACCATTATCAGTTTTACAGCAGTCAGTAAAGAACAATACTCAGATATTAATTAACTGTAGAAACAATAGGAAGCTGCTTGCAAGAGTTAAAGCATTTGATCGGCATTGTAACATGGTGTTGGAGAATGTAAAAGAGGTATGATCATATCAATAGATAACTATGACATTGTTAGGACGGTTGAGTTGACTACGGAAAACGTTTATTGTAGATGTGGACCGAGACACCCAAAGCAGGGAAAGGGAAGAAAGCTAAACCTGTGAATAAGGATAGATTCATCAGTAAAATGTTCCTGAGAGGCGATTCCGTGATTCTAGGTATGTTGGTAATTAAACTTTTTCCCCTGGGAGGTATCGATACGGTTGTGTCTAATGATTTCACTCTATTTCATTTTGACGTTTTAGTATTGAGAAATACTGTTTGATTGATGAGAACATACGACCCACAATCACCATTTACGAATAATTAAAACGTTCATTGGACCCGAAATCGAAACCGCCTGTTGCGTTTCTTTCGGATTGCATAATAATAATAAATGCTACATGTGATCTATTGACATAGTGACTTTGTCAATGTATTTTATATGCTATCAAATCACTAGAAAACTCGGGGCAATATTAGAACCTTCCATAATACTTACGCAGATATTTCATGCTTGACCGTTCTTTCAATCAGCGAACCCGCTCTGAATCGATCAACTCTAGTGTGTCAGAAATTTTCTTCCTTTTAACCTTCGTCTCATAATAATTTTCCTCCCCCCTCTGCTTCGCATTCGGGCCAAGAATCCATGTCTACGCTTTCTGACCAAATTACTCGGTTGGTATTCTCTACCATATGATACCCATCTTAATTGATTTGTAAATATTTGTTGAGGAGACGGATATGATGAACTAGTGTGGATGAGAAGAGGATGATAAAAAGTAACCAGATTAGCGCCATTGTGCAGACGTCGGAAACGGCAATTAAGACACGGAAATAGGTTACTTTGGAAGTGGTGACAATATACTACGAGGTTGAAAGAGACAAGTCGTCACTCGCTTAAACGCCGATAACATTGCTATTACTATATTTTCCCAAAAGGACGATCTGCGAATATAAGAACCAAGTTCATAAATCATTTATCACATGACAAACAAGATGTAGTCTTTGACACCACCATGACAGTAACCAAACTAACTCATAATAAAGAATGTTTGGTTCGTTTTGTGGGGAAGTTATGTTTATCAGCGAAGAACTAGAAGAACCAGTACAGGAAGAACCCCTCAAACTAAACTCACCTGTTTTGGCAAAAGTTTGCAGAAGATATGCTAATGAGATGTCCTGTAGAGGACAATCAATTATTATTAAGTGAGTTAGATGATTGCGGTAGCAATTCAATTAAATATTAAAGAAGTATTGAATGCACGCTTAAATAGTCTGATAATTATCTGTTAAAGGACCGAACAGGATTCATAGACTTAATGTGGTAAGATTGTTAATATCTGATATGGTTAAGCACTAAAATTTTTGTTGCTAGTTTAAAAGCAGGTGACCCTTATTATGGAAATATGAAAGCTTGACGCGAACATAGATGGTAAATTAAATAATAGCCACTCAGGTAATATTGCTGACTAGGCTCTGTATTAACCCCCGGAACTGCTAAATACACATCAATGCATTTTAAAATCATGTTGACCAGGGACACTTGGCAGTTTTGCTTATATGGCCCCAACGATTGATCTTAAATGTGGTTCCTTTATATATCCTTTCGTTGAGGATAAATTCACATCGAACTATAAAGTTTTGAACGTTATGTTCAACTATTTTCCGTGTTCTCCATACTGACAACACATAAAGACAGAATTATGACAGCTAAGAATAATCTCTAATCTACAATTCTTCGAGCACTGTCTAATAATTCCTATTATCGAACGAGTTCGTCTTCAATTGAATTTGTAAATGGTGAATTTGCCATGTTCATTTTGCACTAGAACATTATATTCTGCCTGGGGGTCACTATTATGGCGCATGGTGCATAACGCGTACTTACTTTTAATTCTGTGCTTGAAGGTAGAAAAGCGAAATAATGACATCAAACTATGTTATACCCGCCATGTAATAATGAATACCAAATTAACACTTAGCTTGTCTGCACGTGGTACAGGCTATCATATCGTTTGATACAAATGGCTCGTGAAAAAACCGCCTTAGTAAGCATTAGAAAGAGGCTCTCATCAAGTGTTACAAGATAGCATCAGAATTTTCCTGTAGACGATTATTTGTGTCTTCATTTGCATCTGGGTATTCTACACTTCACAACACCTTTCTTTAGAATGAAATTCGGCAGATTTCTTCAAGAAAATAAAACACGCTTACCCAAAACGTGGGCTGATAAATTCATCCATTATGATTCCCTCAAAAAGTTTCTAAAATTCAATGTTACGCCCAATACTCTCTCGTTTGATCTGACCCAACTTGCCTGGCAACCAAATCTACCCAATCAACCATCATTCGCTGAAACTGTGTCGAAACGTCTTGGTTTATTACAAGTGAATACTGCTAAATTCATTGAATTGCTTGATACAGAAGTGCAGAGAACAGCCGATTTTTTTGAGGAACAGAGCTCACAATTGTTCCGAGTATATGATGCAGCGGTTGGAAAACCAGAAGGCCTAAATCAGAAAGATGCCGATGAATCACTGGAAGGTATCGTTCAGTTGGAGAATTTTGCATTGTTGAATTATACGGGTATTGTGAAGATATTGAAGAAGCACGATCGACATTCCGGATTGAATATAAGCCAAGCATACCTATATAGAGTCGCCTCTTTACCGTTTGTAAAGACGGGAGATTTATCTACTTTAAAAAAAACTTTAATGGATAAATTCGCTGGATCTGTTGTAGCATCTAATACAATCCCGAACCTGTTCCAGCGAAAGTTTGTGCCATCAAACGATCAAAGTCTCTTCCCATCAGTTGCACACCTTCCTCATCATAAGGTTGTTGTATCATTGACTGGATCGCATGGGACAGACATTATCGGATGTGTATTGGAAAGCATGGCAAAATACAATGTTGAGATTGAAGATTTCATGTTATCCAGACTATATCACAATGTTACGTTTGGCGTCTTGATAGTTCTCCGTTCGAATAGCGTTGAACTGTTTCGTGATCTTGCTAAATCTGCTCAAAAGTGGGATGGTGTCCTTGCGTTTGACATTCATGACAAAGAACAAACGCTACCAAATTCTATGGAGGACGCCCCATATGATGATCGTATGAAGTATACTGCAACAGTGTTGAATGAGAATGGTCTGACTGCCCAGTTCCTTAATGAGTGGACTAAATTATTACTTAGAGAAAATATATCTATTGAACGGTTGACGAGATTGAATAAGGGCAAAGTTTCGTGTGCAGACTATAAACTTTCTGTGCCTATAGGAGTTAACATTGATAAACTAAGACAGGATTTGTTTGAGTTGAGCATTAGTCATGGAACGGACGTTGCTCTGCAACCACATGACGTGTTCAGAAAACACAAAAGACTGGTGGTTTTCGATATGGATTCAACACTCATTCGCCAGGAAGTAATCGATGAAATTGCAAGAATTGCTGGTGTAGTAGATGAAGTCGCTGTATGTATTCTATATGTCATGTGTATTTGAAGAACAGGATATTTCTATCATAGTGTCAATGTTGTTAACGCCATATATTTTTCGCAGACCATTACTAGCAGTGCAATGAATGGAGAGATCGACTTTAAAGAATCGTTGCGACGTCGCGTAGCTCTTTTAAAGGGAACACCGGTGGGAGTGTTGGACATTGTCAGAGATCGCTTACAATTTACCGAGGGTGCGCATATGTTATGTAGCGCATTAAAGAAGATTGGATTTAAACTTGCTGTGATCTCTGGTAAGTCAGTAAACGTTTAGTTTGTAAGATGTGATCGAAACAAGGGCAGTTTTGATAATCTTTTCACTGAATTAGGTGGATTTATGCCGCTCGCCCAGTACGTTAAACACGAGTTAGGTTTAGACTACGCATTTGCAAACCAGGTCAGATTCAAAATATTACATATAAATGTCTTGATATCTCTCTACTGCAGGGAGAGGAAACGTCATGCTCATCCGCTCTATAGTTGAAGGTATCTCAAGATGGTCTGACACTTACGGGGGAAACTTTTGGACCGATTGTTGATGGTGAACGCAAAGCCGAGTTACTTGAAGTCATTGCCCAAGCGGAAAATGTATCGCTTGATCAGGTGATTGCGGTTGGCGATGGAGCGAACGATCTTTGGATGCTGGCAAGAGCGGGACTTGGAATAGCATTTAATGCAAAACCAAGAGTCCAAGAACAGGTTAGAGTTAATCTATGCAATGAGATAATCAACAACTTTGTAATAGCACTTATTCATGTGTCATGTTTGAAAAATTTTTTGTAGGCGAGAGCACGCATAAATCAGCGCAGTTTGAAGTATGTCTTATATTTATTAGGGTATGCAGACGAAGAATTGGAGCAATTAGATTCTCAGAGTAGAAGTGTGCGTAAGAAGAAAAGTTCTACTGATATGACTACTTGAATTTATCGATTCTACTTTTGCCTCTGCGTAAGATATTTACTTGACGCATGTCCAGAATGCACAATCATACACATATTTCAGCATTCCATTTGGATTGGCTGTATACGTAGTCTGAATCATTTTCTCTTTCTGTGTATAGAAGACAGGAAAATTACTGACTGGTGCCGCCGGCTCACTAAATAATGAATAAATTGATATCATGACTGAACCGTTAAGATTTAATCACCTTAATGTCAAAACCAATCTTCCTGACAAGGTTCTTGACTTCTTCTAAGCTTAGTTCAATAGACATTTCACCTGGCATATTTTCATAGTGATACAGTAATGGACCTACAAATGACGAGCTTTTGGTTACAACGTTATTGCATTTAGCGGACGGCATATGTATCTCGCTTACCAATGTTGATCCACAATCCGCCTGGCTTCAAAATGTTATAAATTATCTCGATGTACTCCATAATATTCTTTGCAGTGTCGATAAAGAAACACGTAATGACACAGTTCCATGTCCCTGCAAGAAAAAAAAAAAAAACTTATGAAAACTATCTATATATAATAACAATTAGTAGTGCTATTGATATTACCCTTGTGGCTGTCGTCTCCATATATTTCCACAAAATCACCAGCCACCATTGAGAAGTCTATTCCTTGTGGTATTTCACTTGGCAAAACATCGGGTATACTTATGGGCTTCAGTTGTTCCTCAAAAGAAGGAATGTTTGAGAAAGAATGAATGAACGGATAGATTTCATACTGGTGGATGCGTTCGATCCTGTAAGATATCATGTGAGCAATACGATTTACACTGCTTATCAATAAAGCCCCTCATTTACCTGTTCAATATAAAATGAGCAGCCAAGAGCTAAAATCATCATAGCATCAGTCATAACGGTAGTCATACGTTCATTTATAAGAATTTGTCATCAAAAATTACCATGTAGAATGAGAATTCATTTCCTAAATTAGATACCGATTAGAACAACTGTCTGCTTTTCCTGTGTACAATAACAGATTTAACTTACCTTGACAGCTAAATCCTATACATAATAAAAGTAAACGTGGGATTGTTATTTATCGGCATGTGTAAACAAAGAACTACTCATTACCAACCTGACTTGGCAATGTCAAAGGCTAATCTACCCAAGCCAGCTCCCGGTATCAATACATTTATCTTAGCCCTAGTAAAAATACAACTCAGTGTGTGTTGTACAGCAATATATATATCGTATGGTTATAAAACGTTACCTCTCTGATAAAGGTACCTCTTCGTAGTAGTCAAGTAATTCTTGCAATAAAGGTTGATAAGTTACATCCCGTTCGGGTTTTCCCTATCAAGTACACAAATAATTGGCATACAGAGTTGGATTGAGGGGCAACAATAAAGCAACCTATATTAATTTTCAACATACCATGCCGTACCTCAATAGACCAGTCTCTTACAAACTGCTTGATCGTACTACGCAGTTTGTCGAAATCATATTCGGTTATTTCATCTTGTATGTCTTCAGTCTGCTCGTTGGCATGCGCGTGCAAAACGGAACTATCCTAACAAACGGATATTAATTAATTTTGTATGAGAAGACAATGTAGAATCAGCAGATCTCAAACCGGCATACTTTTCCATCCGAAAACATCTGTCCATTAGACATTATCTGCTTGACTACTGCATAGTTCTTTACTATGGCACGGTCGATTGTATTCAAATGATTAAGATAATTGGGAATCAGGTTCTTATGTCTCTCCGTCAGCGCATGATAGTCCTTTCGTCTACGATTGTTCGCCATCAGAGCCGATGTTTTATAGAGCGAAAACGTTTGAAGAACTTTGCGAAAATGCTAATATGTTTGAAAAATTGTTTCAATATCATATTATGTTATCGTCAAGTTTTAAATATTTGAGATTATGTACCTTTGCCTCTTCTTCTACATGAAGCCTCTCTTCTACACTGTCTGCATTATCAAACATTGTTTGAGAAAATGTCTCTTGGTATTGGAAATTTTATATGTGATATTAATATTGAACGTGCACTTATACAAGTTTAGAATTTCTGTATACACAGTGAAACTCGATAAGTCGGACACTCGATAAGTCGGATTTGGCTTAAGTCGGACGAAATCTCTCAGCCCC